GTCGGATATTTAGGTGAGTCAGAGAAACTATTCTTTTTTATCCACTTAAGTGCAATATTCGACTATAAGTTGTGTTTCATTGGATAAAGATACCTGATGTTTCATCGAAAAGCCTAAAAATTGATCAAATAATAAAAAATGAGCAAATTTTTTAGAAGAACTGCGTGTCATTACAAACACAAAATATATCTATTTTATAAATAATTTTTGATAGTACTCAACTTTTAGGCATTACTACGCGTGATCTTTTCGGGATTTCATTGATCGCATCGCCAGTGAAACCGACAACGTGCATGGAAATCATCTGTGACACAAAGTATCCCAAGCTAACTCGTTCCACGAGGCTTTCATAAAGTTCGGGCTTGCTGCGAGCTGGCCCACGTGGAGTCACGTGGCAATAACTTTAAAATTTGATTGCGGCAGACATGGGGATAGGCTACCCCCCAAGGCAACCCGCGGTAATAGGCGCTCAACCCTTGCACCCACGCTCCTCTTTCTCTCTCCCTGCTCTTGAACTGAGCTCCTACGGCCCAGCTCCACCAACCACCGCCGCCGCCACCATCACCATCGCCAGCACTACCACGTCATAAATAAAACGAAATTGTTGACCGGTACCTTTCGGCTGGTTAAGCGTTAAACAAAGGCCCACGGGATGTCGGGCGCCGTATCTTTGATCTCTGTTTGCCGAGGCATGCATCATCCGCGAGATAATCGGGAATAATTATTTGTTAGATAAATATGATCGCAGCCGGCGATAGCGCGCTAAATTTATGATGGACCACTTGCCGCTTGTAAATGACGCGGAGGAGAGCTCGTTCGCGCCAGAGACTATGAATATCGCCACTCTCGCGCGCTCGAGGAGCAGTAGTTTCTGGCATGCCGGTTGCTTGGTATGATTGGTGAATTTGGCTTAATTCTGATAAAACACTGTTGATATCGCAATGTTTATTCTAATGTAAGTTTCTAGTACATTAACAAGAATTACGCGCGAGAATATTGATGAAATATGGAATATCATCGAAAAATTCAATTTATATGCTAATATCGTGTACTGAAATTATTGGTATTAGTATTTAGTACACTAAAAAAAATATTAATCTAATTTTTAATGAAATTCACTGTACATCAGTCTCGAGAGGATTTTTTTTAAATAAAAAAAGTATTCTAACATCCAAATAAAAAAATAATTCTAATTACAAGATATTATTTCCTGTAATCCTATATTATAAGCACAAATTTTTACTGAACGAGTATTTAGTAGTGCATTCTAATAAAGTAGACTATATTAATTAGAAACCTACTAGATATTATTCTAATTTTTCTTTCTATTGAGTCAAGAGAAATATATTTATTTGAAACAGAATATTCTTTTAGCGCGATACGAAAGACACGATAAAAAGGACTTATACTGTAGATAAAAGTTCTTCTAACTTTAAAAACATTGTGTTTAGAATTTTTTCCTTCTGAATTTATTATTCAGCTATTATGTTATTATTTTTCTTTTTGTTTTAGAATTCTCTTCAAACCATATATGAAAAGATTATGTAAAGGATGAGATTGTATTTTTTAGATATGTGTTGTGTGTGTATGTGTGTATGTGTGATATATATACTAGTATATTGATATAGTACTATATACAGTATATCTAAGGCATAATTAATATTCATATGCTAGTTAAAGAAGATTGTTTATATCCTATCAGATTCGAGTCTTATTTAAAACGTCTTATTTTCCACTTACAAAGTGATAGAGAATATAGAGAGAAATCACGTAAATTGAGTTATATGTCTTACGATTCCGAGGAAATCTTAATATCACGTTCTATCTCTACGTGTATATTAACGTGCGTTGACGCTTATGTACACATCGTATGACAGACACGCTACTTGCAGTACTCGACGCTTAGCGATGCATAACGTGTTTGGCTAGCCTGGGTAGATCTTCACCCGATCCTCTCGATGATATCGATCCGCAAGAAGGTCGTTGGATCTCAACTTCGCATTCCCAGCACACCAAGTAAAATCAATACATTTGCATCGTGTTTATCGGCGCGTTAACGAAGGACAATATTTGTGTGACTGTTTGCAAGTACAGTGGACGCGATCGTGCTCGATTCTCACGGTTGTCCATCGGTAGACCATCATGATCCATAATTTCGGCTAGACGTATATTTCATTCGTTGATCATATCATTTTACGTGCCACTTTCTCTTAAACGAGACGTATAATACATAAAGTGAAACTTTCTCTCGTAACAGTGTTATTAAAAATCTTATTAAGCGATATTTTTATTTCGCGCAGAGAGAAAAATAAACAAAAAAGTTTCACGGAGAGAATTTTATAGTAAAAAATTTTTCTTTAATTTCGGCCAATTTGTATGATTTATATCTCGAACAAATATTTTCGGGACTTCGCGAAATTAATCACTTTTTGGTATGGTTCGCCGCATATCGAAGTTATTCTATCATTTCGCTATTTTACACCGCGGCCGATTCGACGTCTGAAAATTTGCGGAGAGGCCCAGGCGAGAGAATCTACCGCGGTCTACCGTGTCGTACATCAACGTCTCGCGGAAGGTGGGCGGACGTCGCGTCAGCGGCTGACGCCCTGCGAAATTGAATCTAAAGGTCCGAGTGTACCCCTACACGCCAATCCTCCCCACAGAGCTGCAGGGAGGTCGCAAATCATCACCTCGCTACATTTACAACGTTAGATAGCCCAAGATTACAGTCGTTCCAAGCTCGACTGCATTGCAGAAATACGAGAGGAGGGGGCCGCCTCTCCCCTCGCTCTTCATCTTCTCTCCCGACCGGGATATTACGGGCGCCGTTCGCGAAAGCGATCCTCCGCCGCTCTTGAGGGCTCGTTGCCTACTTAAGCGAAACAATGTGGTCCCTCGGCGATCGGCCGCGCGAGCAATGCCAGCTCGTAAATTATCCGCCGGCGGGGACTAATGAGCTTGTGATTATAGGGACCGGGGGTAAAAAGGGGCGTTCTCGCGGATGCGCGACGTTCGCGCCGGTGATATATCTTGGGTTCGTTGCAGCCCAGGATGAATGCGCGAAAGTGTATCGGCCGATCTTTTCGTGGAAGTGACGGCGCGTACTCGATACGACGGCGAGATTCGCGGCTCCGGCATATGGATACGCGTGAAAACGCGTCGAACACGATCAGGTTTGAACGATCCACATTCAACGCGGTAACGTGGTTTCTTTAAAGAATCTTTGAAATTATTGGTAGTATGTCTGAAACGAAGACCTCTTGCCTTACGACCGACGAGACGTTCTCTAAAACGTTCTCATGACACTTGCAAAATATTATCCTCTCCTTTATGCAAGAGAAAGAGTTCCACCCGAACGATTGCCCTGGCGTCCCTACGGTCATTCATTCTTACTTCCCGCACGGAAAGATTAAGAAAATTCACCGTATTACGCGACCTCGCGCACAGATCTCCGGCTATTATTTACGAAGTAAGGCTCGATGATCTTGAGAGGATCAGCGGTATTCCGCGTTTGCCGATGGGATTTGCTCTCGGCCGATCAAACAATGTACCCTGAGGCGCGCGCACACACCATCGGTCTCTCTCTCTCTCTCTCTCTCTCTCTCTCTCTCTCTCTCTCTCTCTCTCTGTCTCTCTCTTTTTCTCGCTTTCTCGTATTTCTCTTAAAACGTCGCGAGCGTTCACGTGTGGCAGCAGAAAGGATTGGAGGTGGGTTATACCTTTCCTTTTTGTTCGCGAAGGACTGTGGTCTCGTACGAAATTCCAGGCGTCCCTTCGTCCTCCCCACACCCTCGTTCAATCGCCCAGTGTCCTCTCTCGCGCGCCGCAAAACACGCGCGAGAGCCCATACGGACTTACCCTTTCTCGCTGGTCTTAAGCCGTTCTCGCGTTTTTACATTCTCGACGAAATCCCCGTGGCTTTGTGCCAGTTTATTACGTTTGCCAGCCAAATGATGTCATTAGATATACTTAGGCGCGGCTTTATCGTCGTCTTTTATGCCGGTCGAACGGCTTCCGTGAAACGAATTCGTGCCGAGCGTTCACGACTCATCGGTTATCGCGCCGAAATTCGTTTGCCATCTCTCTCACGTACTTCGGATAGATGGCCCTGTCTCGTCCAGTACCCTTCTCTCTATCCTTTTCTGCCTTTGGGACGACCACGTGAGAACTAGCTAGGCTTTTTTACTGCCTTTATATTGCCGGACGTTTCGTGGCAGCTTTCCACATAAGACACGCGTATCTTTTACGATAAACCTTTGTGCGTTACGCGCCTGCAAGGCGACAAAACCAGTTCAGGTATCCACGCTGAGCTGTAGATTTTAGGACACGGAGAACTGACAGCTGGCCGTTCGAGGTTCTATTACGGAACGGATGAGAACGTCTCAACAAAGTGGATACACAGCCAATGAAAAATTGCAATATTTTTTATATTTTATGATAACACACACATACGAAATATTGTTGAAAAATCTTCTCAAATAATTGTTTTATTTCTACTTTGAACGCTGATGGAAGATTGCCGAAACTTTTACACTTTTCTAAACAAGCAAGAAACGCGCACGCAAAAAGTATTGCTTCAGTTATTCACGTGAAAATTTAATTTGTTTAGACTTGTGCTTTGTGTGTGTGTGTATGTAGATATTATTGAAAGAAATAAAAGATTCGAAAAAAAGAAAAAAATATTGGCTCCTGAGGGAATCGAACCTGCGACCATCGCATATCAGCTCTAACCAACTGAGCCACTAGACCTGTTGGTAGTCAAATATCTAGTTCCACTAAAGCTATGAAATATTTATCGGAAAAATAAAAATTAAAATCATAATCACATAAAATAAATGAAAATAAACCACAGTAAATAATAAAACAGTATAAATAATAAAATGATAAAACGTACAAACGTCTAATTCTAATATGGCACTGAAGTAGCTACGCGAAGAGAGCTGATAATGTAAACCGACAGTCTTCTATTTATCTCAGTAACATTAATATGTTTTTGGTCATGAAAATTAATTAGATAATATTACAAAAGTACGGGATAAATTTACAAGAATAAAATGCCAACCGAATTGGCCATTGACACGTTAAGCAAACCATTGCCGGAGATTGTCTTCAGAAGAAAAAATAATGCTTTATTTAAGAAACTAGCGAAGAATACGCACTTCAATTTGAGAGAAGTCGAAGGTTATCCAGCAGAATGAAACTTTTGCTAATTTTTTCGTAATGATTCTATATCCGTTCTGACTTAACATCAATTAATTTTACTACAGCATTAGCCGTTATACACAGAAAAATAACGCAAACCTTGGGCCCTATAACGAGATTAGTATTTAGAGATATTTTTCACTCTGGTCTGGATTACACCGAGAACATCCGACACTTATTCATCGACAGACTTTTCTCCGCGTTAGACAAGAAGAACGTTCTGCAAGTATGGACGATTAATGTAACATTCCTGACAACTACTATTTTTGCGGAAATTAACTGTGACATTATGGGTACATAGATTAATCTGGAACAATGGATCGAAGGACTTTCCATAATTCTTCGTGGCACTTTGTCCGAGAAGATACATTTCGCGTACACCGTAATCTTCACGCTTTCTTGACTAATCTAATTAATTAATCAGTTCATTGGATTTCTGAATATTCTTCCAAAACTTCTCTCTAAAAATGAAATCATTCTATCAGAATGATAAACCCAGAAGATAGAAAAGCTCAAAATTGCTTTGGGAATAGTCATTAATTAATCACATTTACGTAAAGCAGATCTACGATTTTATGCACACCAACAAACTGAAGAAGGAACATATATTTCCGTCAATGCGAGGCTGTCTAATCAAACTACAGACAGACGAAGATCTCGAAGAAGGCGAAAAGGTTAACTAAAGATTCTCACGATGTGAAAATTCGAACTTTAGACACAAGGCGCGCAGAGATACTTTACGTTGAGTATTACGGACTATTTATATTGCGTTACAGGATTTGATTGATTTATTGATGAAGAAGATCGACGTGGACCGCGACGGTGGAATAACCGAGGAAGAATTTCACACGACGATAAAAGACAGAAATCCGCTGTTGTTGGAATGTATAGGACCAGTGTTCCCGTCTAGGGAAGCGAGACGAGCGTTTCTCAGCACGTTCACGGACCGCCTCGGACGATTTTGATTTCCTCTTTTCACGGGCGTTGTCGTTTGTGTAATTTGTGTATTTAACAACGTCGGTCACGAGCCACGTTTTGTCGAACCTCTTAGAGATAACCTGCTGCGATAAATACGTATCCACCGAAATCGTTCGAGTTACATCGTCAAGAGCTGTGCTGTCCCAGCTAAGAACCCAAAAGTGCATCTCAGTGAAGCGGACAGGCAAACGCGCCCAATCAGACAGAAAAGATCCTCCCGCGCTCCAGAGCAAACGGTCCGGTAAGTTTTCGAGAACCGACCAAGGTAGCGCTCAAGCGCGCACGCGGCTTTCACGATTCATCGGACGACGGCAATTGACTCGCTCGTTTCCTGCGCAAACAATCGCTAATGGAGCGCGATAATGCCGCATCCTAATCGCATCAGGCGTATCCGCGATATGATCGTCCGCGGGGCAAATTCAGTCGATCGTTGGAGCGACGAGCGGCCATGCGATCGTCATAAATCTTATTACTGTGATCAAACGCGAAACACGCGGATGATTGGTCCGTAATATCCGCGTGTTACTCAACGTCCTCGTGATGTATCGATCAGCGATCGCGATCCCGATCCCGCGGCCTCGGTGATCCATCGTTATTAGTTATACAACAAGAGAAATGTCGTAAGATAAAAGACGATTGCGATACAATCTAACACGCGCGCGGCTCGAGGAAAGCGAAAATATCCCAGGGATATATCGAGCTCTGTTCTGGTCCACCTGCTACTGCATGCGATCCGCTCTCGATTAATAGAGACCGCGCTCTCGTAGGGTACGGAACAAATATAGACCTTCTTGCGAGCACGGAGACGGGCCGCCGCCGCCGCCGCCGCCGCCGTCGCCGCAACCCTACACGCGTGAACCGCGCGAGCTGATCGGCGCAGACCGTACACGCGTGCACGTTATGGGAAAAGAGAAAGAAAGGAAGAAGAAAAAAGAAAATATAATGAATGTTTGAGGGATAACCCGCGGACAGACGAATGGCCCGATCTGCGTCTCAAGCAGCTATAACAACAAATTAAACGAGGAAATCTCAGGGCTTTCGTCGGCTCGGCCGACGTATCTCACTGTCTATGGTCCCGGTTTACAATGCGTGGGCGTAGGTATAGGTATACAGTACCAAGGCGCATGGCAACGCGTATTTCTTCCCCGGCTCGAGCCTGCCCCACGACGATAGTGGGGGCGAGCTGGAACGATATTGTGTAAAGAGTATAATAACGTGCGTATGAAAGGCCTGATCCTTTGTGGGTAGCCGACCGTGTCCTGAAAGGATCTCCCGAGATCTGCTCGCGGGGGTGACGCGGGGAACAACGATGGGTGGGGGCTGGCGAGGGGAATCGTCGAGAGTTAGGGGCACCAGCTGAGAAAACATGCCCGCGGCGTGTCGACGAAATATTCATGTGCGTGTAGCGCGTACGTGTACGCGTGGACGAGCAGAGGGCGGACTGGGCGCATCCAGCCGATCTGATTTTTGGCAACGATCGCTTCCTTGAACCCCTTTTGAAGGGGTATACGAAGTAGGGAGGTGGAGAGAGTTTTGCTCCGCGTGTCGAGGCCAAGAACTGAAAGTGATGTCTCGACAGGCAGCGTTGCTGCTATATTTGGTTATATATATATAGAGAAATGATGGTCGCGGTATATCGGTGGTGTAATCCTCGACGTGGTATACGCCTCGGGGGACAAAGGCGATTCCGCTGACAGCTCCGCGAGAGGAGAGAGAGATGGAACGAGACTCGGCGGTAGAAAGAGGAATAAATTATAATCAGAGTCGCGAGCGCGCAAAGAGCGACGATGATTGCGAGAGAGTAGCGCCGGGAAATTAAGTCCGTTTGTACTCAGCTTCCGCCAGTGAGTCTCACTACCCTCGGCGACAGATTTTATTAGGGATAAAATATCTTTCGTTAGGCGGGATATACCGCGCGCACCGGCTTCAATCAGACGTAACAACAGCGCGGCCGCATATTAAAAACGATGAGACGGCGACGGCGACGACGACGACGACGACAACGACGGTGAAGCGGCTGGCAATAGCAATTCAAAACGAGTCACCGTTCTCTTCCTCACGAACGTACCGCGTTTGCGATTCATCGTCTCTCCTCTCCCTCTCCCTCACTCTCTCTTTCTCCCTCTCTCTCTCTCTCTCTCTCTCTCTCTCTCTCTCCCTCTCTCTCTATCTATCTCTATCTATCTATCTTTCCATGGCGTGTGTAAGAGGCAAAGCTCGTTTCGTCTACCGTGTTTGACGGCAGGCACAAATTGCGTCGTGGCAGTACGTTACCGTGTAATCTAGTCACACCGATGGTACTGGAAAGCCGCAGGAGCGAAACTTCATGTCGATACACGCAGCGAAACTCGCGGACGACGGCAGCGATGCGCGACGCGCCTCTGAATACGAGAGGCATAAATTATAATCAGATGTGGGGAGTAGTCGTGATTACAACGGGGACGTGATGAGCTGATTCGATTTGCGCGGCCCACGCCCACGCATCAAAGACGCCGATAACGACGATCAGCGATGGTGGCTCTACGTGCGGTGGAGGATCACGAAAATTCTCACCTCAATAAATAATAACACGGCGGCGCAATCCGAGCCATGATTCTGTCAACCGCGCGCTGGCGTCATTGAAATATTTATAATTTGTCATTCTTTTTGGGTCATTGAAATATTTATAATTTGTCGTATCTTCAAATAAAATATATCGGAAACGCTGCGCGAGACGCGGAAAGACGGTTATTTCACTTTACGACCAGTGCAATCCGATACGAGTTTACCGCGATCTTGTCGGCAAGTTTAATTCTCATTCGGATTTTATTTGCAAACAATGCGCTATAAGGTCCGAGTAACGCCGTACATTGGCGAGGGACAATGACGGGGTACCGAGATTTACAGCGAGTCGTATCCCACGCGTGCATGTGTACGTACAAGCGCGCGATTCCGCGAAACCGATAAATTTAATTAAAGGATGAGCACGCGTCGCACTCAGCCTCATCAGACGCACCGTGTGCTGAATCGATCGAAGGATAAGAATCGACGAGGAGCGCGCTCGACGATCATTCGCGCCGGTGGTTTTCCGAATTGGGCTCATAAATATCTCTCGATGGCGTTGTAGGGTCTAGCTCGGGGCCGGAGAGAGCAATGTTTCGCGCGCGGAATGTTCAATGAGGTGTGCAGATGTGTGCTCACAGGGCGCTGTTGTGGCCACACAGTACCATGTGTTGTCCAGTTGCGGAGGAGCGGGAGGAACCGCGGCATGAGGTCATCCGCGTGAACACGACACCGTCGGTCTCGTCGATCGCAGCGGGATCTGCCCTGACACGGACACCGGACAAATGGATTCAGGAAGATCCCGCTAACGAAAGCAGTGATTTATCTCTGTTTCGTAGACACGCACGTCCTTTCCACGGAAGTCCGACAATTACACATACAATGCGCTGTTTTGGAGTTTCCGCGCGACGTTACTCTTCGCACGATGCAGAGGATCGATCTTTTTAGATATTTACCACAAAAAAGTTCATAATTGACACCCAAGGTATCTTTCCTTAAAAATCGAATAAAATACTCTCCTATCTCCACATATCTATCTTACATTTATCGTAGTAAATAATAAATTTTCGGAGTTAATTTATGCCAGGCGACTTCCACAGAATGCATTTCGCATTGCAGTCACGCCGTGATTAATCCAATTTTCATCCGACCGACCGAGTGAGCTCTCGCGAACTTTTTTCCGTCGAAATGGTTAGTTCAGCTTAGCAAACCGAACGAAGGAACGTCAGCGGACAGCGATAGGATCTTTGAAAGGTACGACGTGGGTAACACCCGCGTCGGGCCACGCGACTAGACAGATTTTAGGGTGAGAAGAGAGAGAGAGAGAGAGAGAGAGAAGAGAAAGGAGAGATCCGTCTTACGTGAACCAAGCGTGACGCGTACGCGCCTTGACGGACGGCCATATTAAATCAACCGCCGTCTCTTCCAGCCGTTTGTTTCTCCTTCAAGCCGGATTCAATTTTCTCCCCGACGTCTTGCAAATCGAGGGATATAAGCCGCGTGGCCAAAATTTACAAGTACGACGCCTGACACAATGCACGCTTCCCTGAGAGGGTACGGGCCAGTGGTTATCATCCGTCGCTTCGTTCGCATATAATTATTCAAACAACTTATTTTTTCACATTTAATTTAATTTAATTTTCATCTGCTTCGCGCGCTGGTTATGTTTTTCTCAATGAGATCTCGATTCAAGATTTTCGAAAAATGTCTCAGTTTCGCGTCTTTAAATCGCAATGAACGTTTCATGACAGACAGTATTCTTGTATCCACACCCTGTAGGATTTGCAGCGTGATATCTGGCACGAAAGAAACAAAATGTCACATGTGTTTACTTCAAGTTTGGTTCGACGTGTTCGATTACTCTCAACAGATAGCGACCCAATTAGTGGTGGAGGAAGGCAAGGGGGATTAATATTGATAGAGAGTCTTGCCTCTTCTCTCTGGCGGCCATGAGGCCGGGGATAGGCTGTAAGATAATAGCCGCGCGCAGGAACCGAAAGATCGAGGGACCGTCATAAACTATCTGAAGGTGTCGAGTTTGTCACGGTCATGCGAGACCGAGTTTTCAAAACAGGATTAGGCGCGTTCGTCGGATCTCGAGAGCAGCGGCGGCAGCGTCGGCGTATCGGTCCCTCTTCTTCCTCTGCCTCTCGTGTTCCTGCGAAACGTGCATCGTCCATTTTTCAGCGACGCTCTACAGCGTTTGGGCTCCTTTTTATCTGCTACGTCGTAGACTCGACGGGGATTATCCACATCCGGTCATTTCTGCTAACTTTTTTTTCCTCTCTCTCTCTTTTTTCGGCCGATCTCGCGTCTTCGTAGGGGCACTGAGAGATATCGAGTGGTTTATTGATCTATTCTGTGAGCGTTCATTCATCCGCCGGCTCTCAATGGCGTTTGCCTATTGTTCGGGTCTTCTCTCTCTCAAGCGAGAGAACGGTTGCTTTTTCTTCGATCTGATCTTGCCGGGGCAAGACTCTTCCTCTTTTTATACTTCCTTCTACGAGCCCTAGCGTGCGATGAATTTCGTCGTGATTTTAACGCGTGTTCTATTTATGGCGGTTTAGCGCTAGTCAATAGGGGAGACCGTTCAGTGTAAAATTCTTTAACGATCGTGACAGGATCCAAGCACTCCGACCTGCGACCGGCATATCGCGAATATAATTTTGCACAAGATTTTACAAATATAATAAACGATAACTTACTTTACAAAGCATTACAAAATTATTTGCAAAAATTAATATAAAATTCATATTGATTTTTCACCCATCGTTTTTAAAATACAAAAATTTTTGTCGAGTAACACTCCGAGTAACACTTACTATTAACAGTTTTGTTACGATTAAATATTTACATGATAGTACAGAGATTATATAACAACTGTTTTGTAACAATTTTTATACACTCTGTTTTAATAAGTAGAAGAAAAACACTTTTCTCTCCATGAGCTTCAAAATATTGCTGGTATTCATATAATTATCAAGATCATAATTCTGAGTGTTCTTTAAAAAATATTAGTTGTTTTTTATTGCTTATTAAAAAGTTATGAATAAATGAATTAATAAATGAAGCTCACATTAGTTAATACTGGTGTTCAAGAATGTAATCAACTGATATATGTATAGAAAAAATATATATGTGGATGGGTTGATGGGCTCCATTCCGAAAAAACCTAACCAAACCTAATCTCAAAAACGATACAGATTTGGTTAGGTTTTTTGCGAGTATATAGGAGGTCAAACTTTCTATTTCTAATGCTGTTTTTATCGTTTTATCTGTCCTTAATTCTAATAGGCATAATTTCAATAGAACATTATGATAATTCATAGAGTATATCGGAAATAAATCTTATATTTTTGTATGACGATGTTCGATGTTATTAAGTGCTCTGACTTAATGACGTTGGACACTGCGAAGTAGCGAGGAACGTCACCGCGTGGCGGTAAGCAATTCATTTCACAGCTGCGAACCGATGGAAGGTCTTTGCATCGGTTCGTTTTCCGTCATTTCTTTCGACGTAATCCGACGCCCGCAGGATGCTCCATTATCCCGTCAGGATACCCGCGGGGAAAGCGGTGGTTCGCCATGAAGTAGGTCTGCCGTTTGGCCACGGAGCTTAAAACACGGAGGATTAGCATAATCGAGCGGTTGGGTAGAAAACATTTTGACTTTACGGTCGGTTTCTTCGTCGTTGAGGAATCCTCCTGCGTGACGCGTCTCATCGTATTTGTACGATTATCGCCCGACTTTTTTACCTCGCTTATTTTACCACGATGTTTCAACGATCCTCGGCATATCCTCGAACGATGTTACGAGAAGTTCTCGTGTCCCCCATATCGCGTGAGGGTTAACGCCGATTTCTCTTCACTGAAATATCGCGTCGCAAAATTTTCGCGACGTTCTCGCGAGCGAAAAGAAGCCATACGGTTCTTGTAATACGGAAACGAATGTCTCTAATTATTCCCACAGGAGCTGTGATTGCTCAGCTGCCAGTACGACACGAGAAATGCGCATAGTCGCGGCCACCTGTGTTTTCGCCTTCGCGAACTCCCGACTGGCCGGCCGCCGCCGTTGCCTTCGCGCTCGCGATAAAATACAGCGGGAAATCGAGTTTATTTATCAAGCTGACGTGCGCCATCCTTCACGCTAAATACCAGAAGTGCGTTCATTATTCCCACTGTGCCGGCTATCTCCTGGATCCGGGATGAAGCTGTGCGGTGGCATACCGTGCGCAAGCGAAGCGATAATTACGCCAGCTAGTCGGTTAGCTGGCCAGCTAGCTTGGGTTTCGCGATCCAGAACGAGATCCAGAATCTCTGTGTGCTCGCGATAATGGCTGGCTTTCGCGGAGAGTAGTAACTTCGTCGACTTTTATTTCCTGCCACTCCCACCTTGTCCGACGTCTAATAAAAACGAATAAAGTTACGTAAATTGCACGACGTCTTCTCGGTTCATTCGCGCGGCTCCAGTCGAGACCAGTTACTTCATGTCAAGACGACACTTTGTAATTTTGTGGTATTTTCGATGCGTCGTGTCGCGAAAAGATTGAAAGCGTCAGAAAGATTAAACGAGACTCGTTTGGAATTCATTTTACTCCTCTGAGTTGTATGTATATATCGCTAATGTAATCAGATTTTCCACATAGAGAAAATAATTTGATTGCGTGTATCGACATGAAGTTTGCTTTTAGTAAACGAACTAGCGCGTTTTGATCGAAGGACACAATTTCTGGTTCTTATGACTCAAATTTGGTTTTAAAAAATTTTATTTTCTTCAATCAAAACGCGTTGGTATATGTGTGAAACAGAATATATACCATATACGTCACCCAATATACGAGAATTCGATATCTAATAAGAGAGTTTAAATTCTAGAGTTTCTATCTAATAATATTTTTATTTTTAGAAAATAAATTTTACTATTGGACATATAAGAATCACACATAATAAAATAAATGTGACATTCTCGTACGTCATGAGCGTTATGTGCAGTATTGATGATATTCAAGAAACTAAATATTGTCAAATTAAGTTCCTAATCTTAAAAAAATCCCTTATTTTGAGAAAAAAATTCTTTATACTGGGATAAACCGAGATTTGGCCGAATCTGGATTAAATCTGAATTTCGGATAATATTCAAAAAAATTCAAGAACAAAGGGTGAAAAATCAGGACTATTCTGAAAAAAACGGGACGTCTGACCACTTTAGTATTGAGTTAATTAAAGTTTAGTTCGATTTGGGATTTTGTTGCACATTCAACAAAAACAAATTATTATTTAACAAACAAGTAAACATCATCATTGTTTACAATCCTTTGTCGATTTTGGCAGAACTAGTACACCGCTCTCATAGAAGATGGCTAGTTTACTGTTAAAGGAGGCAGAAATCGAATCGAGCTTTTTGATTGATCCAATACATCAGCGATAGATAGATACAGCTTATAAAGGAAGATTGATTTTCGTCGTATGTGATTTCTACAATTCTCTCTTCTTCTCTTTCTGGCGCAAAGTACTCCGGATTGAAATCGTGGAAGTGTGTCGGGTCCTGACCCAATCCCGGTACCCGGAATTTACAGTCACGGGCTATTTATACGCGGCCGCGTCGTATGCCGAAGGAGAGCTCCATTTCCTCACTCCTTCCTCGACACTTTCTCACGAAGGGAGTCTAATTGGCCTGACCCTACGGCAGCTGACCACGACGCAGATGCAACCGTTTCGATCGCCGCGCGGACAGCGCGACGACGGGGGACAATCGTAGAAGAACGTAATTTTTCATCTTAATGACGGATGACCACCGTCGCGCGGTTTCCTTATTCGCCCGCTTGTCGTCGTTGCTGAATGCCAGTGTGGCACCCTTTGAATTC